TCCCCGGGACCGGCAATTCCAACACCGGTCCGCATTTCTGGTCGGCCCGCTCTGGCTGGTGCCCTCCGACGCCGCTCCCGGGGATCTACTGGGACGGCGTGGTCGTTCTGGGACTCCTGTCCGTGGTCGGCTCCGCGAGCGGGATCGATTCAGCTCGGCGAGGTCGGTCTCGGTGCCCCGGCTGTACTTGGGCGCCCCTCCCTTCGCCAGGCCTTTGATCTCGGTCTGGTCCGCCGTGGTCCGCGTAGGGGCCGGTCGGCAGCCTGGGACCGTCTGCGTTGACGGTTGGTGGTCGCGGGGAAGTCCCTCACCACCGCCTGGTGTGGACGCTCGACCCTCATCGGCGTGCTTCGCAGGGCCTCCGCCACGTCGTCCCAGAAATTCAATTCCCGCTCCCCGATGACGCAGAAGTCGTTGTAATAGCGTCTAAAGACGCGCTCCCACGGGTCCTGCGGGTCCATTTTCGGCAGCCTGTGAGTTAAGGGGAAGCGGAAGGTTGATAGGGTTTCAATTGACTAACGTGCACTCGCTCTTCCGGAGCCCCCCTCTCGGATAGGAGCTCGTACAGGGTCGCGTAGAGCACCTTTTCAATGCGGAAGGGTCCCGCGAACTTTGGCGAGAGCTTTGCGGCGATCCCTTGCGCGGCGGAAGACAACACATGCTGTCTTCGCATCACCAAGTCTCCCACGCCGAATCTTCGCGGTCGGTGACGCAAGTTATATCGTGACGCCTGCTCCTGATAGGCGGTATCTAGATGTTCGCGAATGCATGCACCGCGTCGAGACGGCGCATCCGTGCCGTCCACTCTCCTGGTTCGCGCGCGGCAATCTCTAAGGTCGCTTCACTCCGCCGTCTCAACGTTTGCGGAGCCTCCAAAATCACTCCTCCACTCACGACCAAAATTCAAGAAGGCGGGCGATGCACCGAGAGACGTGTGATGAACCGAATTATAGGCGAATCTGAGGTCGTTCACGTAAAGGTCCCACTCTCGATGATCTCCTTTGAGATACGCGACGATCATCGTTTTGATTACGCGGTTTACTCGCTCTACCGGGTTCCCCTGTGGATGGTAAGGCGGCGTGTTAAGCAGTTCGATCCCGCACTCCCCTGCGAATTCTTTTATGGTTCGATTCACGATGGGACTCCGTCCCATTATCCGTGAGCAAGTACTGCGGCGTGCCCCATCAGGATATCACGAGATCCTCGAGCGCCTCTCGTATCTTCAGCCCCGTCGCTACGCGCAGCGGGCGACATTCTATCCACTTGGTGAATAGATCCGGGATGACTAGGAGGTATACAAATCCCGCCCTACTACGCGGCAGCGGTCCTACTATATCGGCAGCTATGGTCGTCCAGGTTGCTCGATCACACGCGGCCCCATTAGACCGGCGGCAGCCACCTGTTCTACTTTTGTACGCTGGCACGAGTCGCAACGCCAGACGTACGCAGCGACGTCTCTATACATTCCCGGCCAGTAGTAGGCTACCGCGATTCTATGGTAGGTCTTCTCCACTCCTAAGTGACCCGCCTTGGGCTCGTCGTGCGACTCGCAGAGGGCCTCTCCCCGCAGCTCTTTCGGCAGCACCAACTTCCACCGATTTAGATCGCTAACGACTCCCTCTACCACCGACCTCGGTCGCCGAAAATATAGTCGATCATCTACGATTCTCCAGTCAGGGAAATGCTTCGGCCTTCGGCACACGTCCGCGAAGCGTCTACGATACCAACGATCCGCAATGTCAGGCGGAGGATCTTACTCCATGGCCACTGCCACTACCTCCCTTCCCTCGGTCTCATACATGCGGGAGAGAGCGTCGGGGACATGATGAAGCGCCCCCTTCCTATGAACGATCTCGTAGTCGTATTCCAATAACTCGAGAGCCCAGCGAGCTAATCGGCCCGTGGGGTTATGCAAGTTGTGAAGCCAGCGGAGACTACCATGATCTGTCACGACCGTAAAATGATATCCTTCCAGGTATGGTCGAAACTTTCGGATGGCCCATACGACAGCCAGACACTCCTGTTCCGTCACAGAGTATTTTTTCTCAGGATCAGTCAGAGCCCTGCTTGCAAACGCGATAATATTCTCCACCCCTTCAATCGCCTGAGTGAGCACGGCACCCAAGCCCACCGAACTCGCGTCCGTCTGCAGGCTAAACGGCTGGCTAAAATCAGGACACGAGAGCGTAGGAGCGGCAGCCAGATGAGCGCGGATCTGCCGAAACGCCTCCCCCTGCTCCGTCGTCCACTCCCACCGTTTGTTCTTACGAAGTAACCGGGTTAGAGGCTCACTCACGGTCGCAAATTGAGGAATAAAGCGACGGTACCACGAAGACATCCCGAGGAATCGCCGAAGTTGTTTCAGATTCCTCGGGGCGGGGTAGTCGTGAATAGGCTGAGCCTTTTCCGAATCTACCCGGAGTCCTTCCTGACTAACTAAAAAGCCCAAATACCTAACTTGCGATCGACAGAACTCGCACTTCTCCGGATTGATGACTAATCCGGCCTCTGTAACCCTTCCTAACACACGCTCTAACCAGATCAAGTGTTCCTCAAAAGTAGACGTAACGATGACGATATCGTCCAGATATGCGAAGGCGTGAGGTTCCATCTCTGGCCCTATTAATTTATCTAAGAGGCGCTGGAAGGTAGCCGGCGCGCCGGTCAATCCGTAAAGACATCCTAGTAAAGTGGTACAATCCTTTACCCGGCACCCGAAACGCTGTGATCTCCCTACTATCCTTAGCGAGCGGAATTTGGAAATAAGCCTGGCTTAGATCCAGAGTCGAAATATATTTCGCAGCCCTCAACTTATCAAGGATGCCTGTCACATTCGGGAGCGGATATGCATCCTTTTTCGAGATCTCATTTACTTTCCGAAAATCTAAGCAGAACCGATACTTTCCGCTAAGCTTTTTGATCATCACGATGGGGTTCGACCATTCACTACTCGAGGGTTCGATTACCCCGGCCTCTAACATCTTATCGACCTCCTCCCTAATGGCTTCCTGCACTTTTGGAGAGACCAAATAGCAACGCTGGCGTATCGGCGCGTGCTGCCCTACATCGATGTGATGTTCTGCTAATCCAGTGATTCCCAAGTTAAGCGACTTGGTCGGCAACCTATTTTTTAGAAAAGTCTCCAACTGCTCCGATTGGTGCAAAGTGAGCTCAAACAGGCCGCTACACGCGTAATCGCTCGTATCGGTATGTCTCACGAATCAGTACCTCGCTCTCGGCTCGGCAGCCAAGTGCCACATCCCTGTCGAGAAATCTACCACGAACTCAAATCGTCGCAAAAAGTCTATCCCGAGGATACACGGAACCGGCAACCGCGACCACAGGCACGCCTGAAAACGATGCTCAGTGCCCTGTAACCGAATTGACACGTCGACTGCTTCGTCTAAACGCGCTAGCTCTCCTCCGGTTTAATGTGGGCCCCAGAGGGGGCGGCCCCAGACACTCTACGATTCGTCTTCCCTCGGTTCCTAATATCGTTCGTCCCGACCCGGAGTCCACCAACGACAACAAAAAGTGTCTTCCGATCGCGATCCTAACGTAGGGTAAGCTGGAGGGCTCCGTTCTTGCGAAGAGCGTGTAGGCCTCCCCTACTTGCCCCTCCTGATCTCTTAACCCGCGGGCTGTCCCCTCGCTCCCCGGGGTCGCGACCTCCCGCTTCAACGACTCCCGGCCTTGTTTCCCGAGCATTCTGGACAGTCCCGCACCGAAACGCCTAGCTTCCCACACCGATAGCAGTGGAGTTTCGGCGGCTATGGACAACTCCTAGCGAGGTGCCCCGCTTCCGAGCATATCCAACAGCGCGCCCTCCCCGCGACTCCACGCACCGGCTCACCGTCACTCGACGTGTTAGGTCTGCTCCCGGCCTGACCCGGGGCCGCCGCGGCTCCCAACGCCGACCCTCGCGACGCGTCGCGTCGGATGCCTCTCCTCGAGGCGGCAGCCCGGCCACCCGACGTCGTCATCCTATCCGCGCCCCCCGCCCCGGAAGTTACCTCGACCGCCGCATGAACGCGGGTAGTCCCCCGCAGAGGGTGGTATGCAAGCCGCGGAATAAGGGTGCGTTCCGAGGGAGGCGGGGGCCGGTAGTCCCGATCGGCCTGGACCTCCGCCTCCGCGCGTATCGCGGCCTTCTCCAACGAGTCATAATCGAAATAGTCATCCCGACGGATGAGCGCTCTCACTCGCGGCAACAAATTCCGACGCGTCAACTCTAGTTGTTGATCGTGGGACCACGGTGGGTCTAGACGGTCAAGCATCGCCCTAAGATGCGTTATATAATCGGCAGCCCTCTCGCTCTCCCCTTGCGTACGACGCTCTACTTCGCGACGCAAGGCGGCCTGATATCCGGGCGCCGCGAACCGATTCCGAAAAGCTACCTCGAATTCTCGCCATGTGGTCCACCGCGCGCGTCGATCCATGTACCACAAGAGCGCGGTACCCGCGAGGAATAGCGGCAAGCATTGTAATAACTCGTGGTCGAATACGGGAACGATCGTACGATTTATCGCGATCTCTCTTAAAAAGTCCTCGACGTCATCATTGAGGCGGTCCCCAGAAAATTTTAACTCCCATTTTCGTAACAAGTTGTACAAACTTTCCGTAATTGCGGCCTCCGCCCCTGCCGGACGGCCGCCCGCGGCTCTCACCAATCGCGCCGATCGCGGAAGCACGTTGTCGCGAGTCTCGTCTCGACCGACCGCGCCCCCCTCCGCGGCCCCAGGCCTTCCGCCTAAGACGTGAGGGACGCCGGTTTGCGCGAAAAAGTCGGCAGCCGTTGACAGGGGACCGGGTGTAGGAGACCCCTGATCCGCGAGACCCGTCTCATAGCGGCGCAAACGCTGCCGCAGGGTGGGCAAAATGCCGTCCGTACTCAAATTCCGCACGACGAGTTCACTTCGCACTTGTTCTAAGCCTAACGAAGCCACCCACCCATCTAAATCACCGTCTCCTGGCATTCTCTTTTCCTTAACCGTCGCTATGGTGGTTCTACTATTCTGCCGATAAGTCGACCGCCGAGCCTCTGAGGCGAAACACTCGAATCTAAGATCGCACGCAGAGATACACACTCACTCCTAATGACCTATCCTAACAGCCCTGCTGACGGCTGAACGCACTCGCAGAGGAACCGAAGTCTCCTGTCAACACGGCAACCAACGGCCGTGCACGAGGAACTGAGCAATCCGCGATCTAAATATTGGTTTCAAAGCGCGACGAACTCACGTACGTCGCCCGCTGACTCTAACCTCACGCTCTCCCTGCCTTCGCTCACCCGCGAGTGTACACACGAGGCGCAAGTCTCAACTTGTTACTCTATTCGTCTGACATTACGCACAATAACACGCGCGAACACGGGACGAATTCCTTAACTCGCTTCTCTATTCACTTTACAGCACGCACAGTAACACACACGAACACGGGACGAATTTCTTACGCGACGTTATATTCACGAGAGCGTGAAGGCTTACGCGGCACGAGGATCGTATCGGCAACCGACAACACGCCGCGGTGTCTAACAATAGCACACGCGAACGTGAGATGAAAAATCATCCGCCGGCGAACGACAGCGAACCGCGACACGTAAACACGCGTCACCCGTTGCTCCTCTCGCCCCGCGCGCCGACCGGCGCTCCCGAGTCTCTCGCGCTTCTCCGCTCGCGGTACCCCTCGCGCGCCATTAAGCTCTCACCATTCACCGCTCACGGGCCCTTCCTGT